AGTCTTTGTTTTACTATGGTTGCAAATATCAAAAAATTTCTATATGTGACACGGCACCAGAGTTAAGTTAGGGTTTTTCAAAATGCTGACACGCCAAGCTCAAAAGGTTCGCCATCACTGGCATAGGCAATCTCAAACATTTGACTCTTGTTAAAACTTCCCTTTTGGGAAGTAATGCTAAATTTCTAAAACTTCCTAAGAGAGTTCAAAGAAAAGGGAGCAAACAATAATAATGAAAACTACCTCACTAATGTTTTAATATTGATTATATGCTAAAATGATAATACTTATGATTAAATATATTATATAAGATATATTGAAATTAATTTTTCTTTTTTCAATTAAAAATTTTAAATGAAGTTAAAATTTTTTACATTACACATGACTCCCCTTGTATTTCCAGTGGACAGCACTGGTCTAGAACTCTAGGAGAATTAGACTTGAGCCAGGAGTTAAGAGACTTATGTTATAATTAACTAGCCACTTAACTTTATGATAATTATGAAGTCCAATAAGGACTTATAATTATGCTAGTTCTCTTTTCCATAGAGTGAAGGAAGTATCTTCCCCTAATCACCTCACAAAAATATATATACTCAGGCTCTGGCCAATCTGGCTCTGTGGTTAGAGTGTCAGCCCATGGACTGAAGGACTGAAGGGCTCAAGAATTTCATTCCAGTCAAGGGCAAGTACCTTGGTTGCAGGGTCAATCCCTGGCCTGGTGAGAGCGCATGCAGGAAGCAACCAATTGATGTGTCTCTTTCACACTGATGTTTCTCTCTCCCTCCTCCCCGCCCCCCGCCCCCATTTTCTCTAAAAATCAATGGGGAAAAAATACCCTTGGGTGAGGATTAACAACAACAAAAAAGATTCAGGTGAGAAGTTATGTAAATATACTTCAGAAAAGAAAACAAAAAGCAGAGGTTATTTATTATTATTATTATTATTATTATTATTATTATTATTGTGTGTGTGTGTTTTAATAGGTTACTGATTTTTAGAGAGCGAGAAAGGTAGAAGAGAGAAACACTGAAGTGAGAGTGCAACATTGACCAGCCACCCTCACTTTCATCTCCCCACTGGGGGTGGGGGGGTCAAGCCTGCAACCCAGCATGTGTCAGGACCAAGAATTGAACCAGCAACCCTTCAGTGCACGGGATGCCCAACCAACTGAGCCACACTAGTCAGGGCTTTCTGTTTTATTTTGTTAAAATAAAATGGTCTTTTTTGGTCAATTCTATAGGCCAGTGGTCGGCAAACTGCGCCTTGCGAGCCACATGCGGCTCTTTGGCCCCTTGAGTGTGGCTCTTCCACAAAATAACGACTTCTGCGCATGGGCCACGAAGTTTCAATCACACTGTACAAGCGTACCCACATGTGGTATTTTGTGGAAGAGCCACACTCAAGGGGCCAAAGAGCCGCATGTGGCTCGCAAGGCGCAGTTTGCCGACCACTGCTCTAGACTAATAAAGACATTTAGTAATTAGTCTCAAACGTAAATAAAAGTTCAGAGCAATAACTCTTTTCAGTAAGAACTACTGGTGTAGCCCAAAGAGAAAATGAAGGAAGTCAAGACACTGCCATGCAAAACACTTAATTCACATAATTGGGGCTATTGTCAATACACAAAATAAATATCCCCCCCTCCAAAATCCCTTTCTCCAATATGAGAACACACAATTCTATTTATCTATCTGATAAAGGATGACTCATGCATCCACTATAAGGGACTTAAATAATCTAGTAGGAGTAATCCATAATTTTTCTGCAAGCACTTACAAATGTCAGACCTCTCCAATTTTCACGACTCATCACACCCCAGTCACTGACTTATAAAGCCAGGAGAGATTTTCCCTTTTTTAAGAAAGGCAAGGAAGGATGGAAGAAAAAAAAGCTGTTATGTATATGCATAGGATAAAAGTTTAAAAGAATATGCCCTGACTGGGTGGGTCAGCTGGTTGGAGCATCATCCCGATTACCAAAAGGTTGTGGGTTCGATTCCCAGTCAGTGCACATACCTAGTTTGGGGTATATAGGGGAGGCAACCAATCGATGTTTCTCTCTCACATCTCTCTCTCTCTCTCTCTCTCTCTCTCTCTCTCTCTCTCTCTCTGTCTCTCTCTCTCCACACACA